GGCTGTTTACGTTTCTACAACTCTTGATGAATCATACTTGTTTGGTTTTATATCTTATGCGATAGTGTAATTCACTAATTCACTATCATTTCCAGATTAAGACGTTCAGGACCCGCTCCCAAAGGGTGAGAGATTCACTAGGAGATTGTTCCACTCTATCTTACGTAAATTTAGACAGTAATTAAAGATATCTATGTCATTGTAGCAAGTATTTAATTTAGAGGTTAGACACGCCTCATGGATTTTGAACATTTTAACATTAAGGTGTGTAAGAGATTTACCTTTGAATCCTTAAATATTGGTTGTGCGAGACTTTTCTGTAAATTATTTACCATTATACAGTGGGATGCGATCAGAACTCTGAATGAGGGGTTCGGGTCGTTACAATATCTATCTTAAAGGCCGGAAAGCCAAGTGTAATAGGGACGCACAATTAAATGCTACAACTAGGATCTTATATTTCTTAGTACCTGATAACAGATAATTCATCAAGTTCTTTGACAATTGGAGTTGCAGGTGGCAATCACTTGAAGTTGTGAAAGTTATTCATGCACAATTATATTGTCCTTTTTATCCATTCTTCATTTAGAAATTCCTTTATCTTCCTTTGCATATGGACTCTCAGCATTTAATAATCTTGCAATGAGTTTCAAGGGAACCTATATACATATACATATATATAAATCTAAACAAGGAATATGTATACTTATTATAATAGATCATTTTTGTCTTCCACCATTGTTTTATAGTGGCAACAATATAACATAACTTAGCTTCAAAAACTAGCTTAGTAATGGTTTTTTTGTTAAATGAAATGTGTTCTAGAATATGTCTGAATTCCTTATGAAGCCCTCAAGAAGGTTGATAAGAAGCTTCATTTCACTTTTCAGGATTTTTCATATACTTATATAAACTACTGTTGCTCGTGATATAATTTGTTTCTGACACTACTTTGAATGATAATTTTCTTCATTATATGATGCAGCAAGCGTTTTCATCCACACCTATTTTTGAGCCATTTGTCATTCCTTTGCTTCTTGAAAAGCTTTCTTCTTCTCTGCCAGTAGCAAAGGTCAGTGTCAATTAAATTAATTCCATATCTTCTTTTGCCGGTGGCAATTGTTACGTTGAAATGTTAATATTCTAGGAGTTCCTGTTCTTCAGGTTGACTCGTTGAAATATCTCAGTGATTGCACTTTGAAGTATGGAGCAGAGAGGGTGGCTAAACATCATGTAGCTATTTGGTCTTTGATAAAAGATACAATATGTACTTTTCACACATCTGTTTTGTCCTTTGCTCCAGAATCACTTAATGGTGTGGAGTTTCAGGAGAATGAAATTGTAACAGAATCTCTACGTCTTCTACATGCACTTGTTATGCAAAATCCTTCATTCGTAAGTTTAATTATTGCTGATGAAGATATAAACACAATCTTCAGTAGCATCACTAGTTATCAAAGTTATGGAGAAATTCCCCTGCAAAATAAACAGAAGCTACATACTGTTGCTCGAATTCTTTCTGTGTCTATCAAGGCTTCAATTGCCTCCTGCAATCTGGTTTATCAGAGCTCTTTCACCCGCTTAATGGACATTCTGGGACTTTCAGTGAGAAGTTCTTCTGATGACTGCTTACCCAATTACAATTGCACGATCTCCAGAAGACTTAATCATGGAGCTCTATGTCTTTGTATTGAACTTCTTGCGGCATCCAGAGACTTAATTCTGGGATCTGAAGAACTTGTGTCAAAATCTGTTTATGGAGATGAGATATGGTGCTCCTTATTAAAAAGCTTTTCGGCTTTGTTAATTGAAGCCTTCACCTTTTCTATCATGGTTACTAATGAAGATGGTGATGATGGAGATAAATATCTTGGAGGTGATAACTTTTGCTTTTTGACAGAGTACATATCTTCTATCGATTTAAACTTGTAGCTATTTTGTTCGGTAGGGAAGTATGATGCTTTTCATTATTAATATCGCTATTCTGTGATAATGGCTCCATAAGGGAGATCTTGGGGATGGGCAAATAAACTCGCTATCTGCTATTATTATGTGGAGAAATAGCCCTCAACTCTTTTATTTATTTAATTTTGTTTTTACGAACCGAAAGCAAATATATTATAAACAATGGCACCTAGGGTTCTCATCCTTGTATATCCCAAAAGAAAGCGAAAATTATACAAGAGAATCAATCAAAACGTTGATGACATCCCAAATATCTTCTCCTTTAAGAAATGGGTGGCTTGTGAACGAAATACATAATGCCTGAAACAAATGATTTGTATGTTGCCAAATTAGATTTGACAATCATCAAACTTCTATTTCTTCATTCCAAATGGATTGGAATATGGAAAGGGGAACAAGGGAGAGGAATTTAGTTGCAGCTGAAGAACCCATCCCAAGCCAAGAGTTCTTTCTGAATAGATCCATTCACCACCCACAAGATCCCCAGTAGACTGCTAGCCAAACCTCATTGTCTACTCCCCTCAAGGCACCATAACAAAAAATTGTTAAGGGATTCACTATCAATTTACAAAGTGCACTCTTTGGATAATGATGCAGACCCTTTTTCACAAATTAACAATGATGAGGATACGGCTCCAATAGCCTCCCAAGCAACAAAGGCGATACAAGGGGAGGCTTTACATTTCTGTATAGCTTTCAAGGGAAAATTATCCAAGGCTGTCATGATTGAAGAGATGATAGTAATAGGGTTTGACAGAGAATGCACCACTTTTAGACAACGCTCACAATTGTTCATCCTCATTTCCAGGGACAAGAATAGTGTCCAAAGCAGCAAGTAGATTCACTATCTCCTCTATTTCCTAGTGATTGAGGTTGGCAACAAGAACAATGCTCTAAGCTACTAGAAAACATGTAATAATCCCCAAATTTGGGACAATACTGGAAAACACCTAGTCTCCCCCCCATAGGAAATGGAATAAAAGTTTGAACATTTTAGCTTGTCTTTAAGGCATTGTTTGCGAAGAACCATTGTGTCTGGTCATGCCACCTTTCCACATGCATGCGTTGTGTGGTAATAATCAAGTTTTTAAATTGATTGTGCTATCTATGATATAAAGTGGATGCTAATAGTGATGTTTGGAGTTGCTAATTTATTACTTATAAGTCTCCAAACCCAATCTTATTAACTTGTTATGCTATTTTCTTTCTCTTATTGTTAAAGAATTAAAGTATTTTTGGTATAGTGTACTAGAGGATTTTCTTTTTTGATAAAAAAGAAGCTTTATTAGAGAATGAGAGTGAAAGCATAAAAACAAGGAGAATAAGGCAACCTCCATCCATGGAAGGAGTAAAAAAACAATATATTTTTTTTGAAATAAAAAGTGTGAAGTATTATATTAACAGGATACCAAAGAGTTACAGTATCAATGACATTCCCAAAATGCAGATCACTGATAATGTTATGATCTAATAAGATGGTCCCAAAAGAATCCATCCATCTATCTCTAATACTATTAGGACTACTAACTTTCCCGTCAAAAACTCTCGAATTCTTTTTTTTTCAAATAACCCAAAAAACAATTAATGGAATAATGTTTACAATGTTTCTTTTTACATATAACGCATCTCAAGCTCAAATTTCCTTGCAGATTGAACCCGTCACAACCCAATGGATCTCCAACAAACCATAAATCATGCACCAAAGATAATGAGCCACAAGGCACCGAAGCAACAGTTGATTGCAGGACTCCTCGGCCTTCAGACACATATAACATCCTTTCACAAGAATCTGTCCTCTAGTTCTAAGTTTATCAATTGTAAGAATCTTCTCTCAACAGTCTTCCCAAGCGAAAAAAGTGATCCTCGGAAGGACCTTAGTTTTTCAGATTTGCTTGTAAAGAAAATTCTGACAAACCACAATAGACATCGTCATTAAAAAATTGTACTATGATCTAACTGAAAATTTCTTAGACTTCTCTAATTTCCAACTGAATTTGTCAGGAGTGAATGAAATCTATTGTGATGATAAAATCTTAAGTATTTCCGCATAATCATTAATTTTTCAGTCATTTAAGTTTCTTACAACCGATTTTACATTGCCATTCGACTGTTGGTAAGCTTTGTCAATAAGTGTATTTCTGAATTGAGCGACATTAAAAGTCCTCGGGAAACAATTTTTGACGCTATCCACCTTTAACCACTCATCAGTCAAATATCTGTTATTATTACCTCTACCCAGTTTCCTTTGTGAGTAAAGACTAAACTGATGTCATTGAGTTAAGATTTTCTGCCTTGAGCCTCTGCCATACGGGGTTGTAAGTATACTTCTCGGGGTCGAATTGTGGTTGCCCCACCAAGCCTCTACAATCATTCTCCACAATCTATTATTTTCATTCATGTACTTCCACAACCATTTGCCAAGGAGGGCATTATTCATTTTCATTATTGATTTTATGCCGAGTCCTCCCAAACTATTAGGCATTTTAATGTCCTCCCACTTTACCAAGTGGTACTTATGTTTCTCATCATCGTCACCCCAGAGGAAAGGACATTGAATTGATTCTAATTTCTTAGCCACCTTTACTGGAATTGTAAGAGTAGAAAGATAATAGATGGGAAGGTTGACCATTGAGCTTTTAATTAAGGTGTATCTACCACCCTTTGAAAGGAAGTTTCACTTCCATCCAGTAAGTTTCTTTTCAAATAATTCTAGTATCGACTCCTAGGAGGTCATGCCTTTATACTTACTATCGAAAGGGATTCCCAGGTACTTTATGGGGAATTTGACTGCTTTATACCCTAGCACCCTAGCAAACAGA